CGGTCGGTCGGTCGGTCGGTCGGTCGGTCGGTCGGTCGGTCGGTCGGTCGGTCGGTCGGTCGGTCGGTCGCTGAAATGGGGCTCCTAGGCGTTGATAGGGTATAAATTTAGACTGTCTCAAGTTATCGCAGGGCATGCGATCTCCCATTTTTTTATGGCAGGCAGTCCATAACGATATATATATTTTAGGTCATCGTTTCATGTCCGGTATTATCCGCACGTAAACTACAAGGCATGGAAAGAACAAAAGATAGTAAAGGAGATTCTGATGAGTCACGACGTACATATCAGACCAATGAAGTTCGGCAACGACAGTCTGGCAGCACTGAGAAAATCGAATCCGGTGAACGTATACACTGGTTTGTTCATCAGGTCAATCACTGCTTTGAACGAAGTGAATATGGTAAGCCAATGCCCGATTATTCCGACCGGTTGAACAGAGTTGCATGATACTATACTCTAGTTTATTGCACTGTACTGAAAACACTGTTTAAAGTAAGTGAAATTAATCAATGAAGACTTTTTGAGGCAGGAATTTCTAGGCATTTTCACCATAAGATGTTATAATTCGGCTATTCAAATAAATTGAAATTTTCAAACCATGTTCAATTTCTACCCCAAATCAATGAAGACAAGAGGTAATAATTAAGTTGTACGTTATATAAAACAGTTGAATGTCCCGAAGAACATTTGTAGGGTGGAGCAAAATACAGGATTTTTGCAAGGGCGAGTGACGAACTTGGTTCGGTTTTGTCTGAAAGTCAATTATCTTCCTCAGGGTTCGATATGCTGCAGTATTATTGAGCTTTGAATAAGCAAAATGATTTTCTTTTCCGGAAAGTAATGACACGTTTTTGGAAGACCATAATGAGTTTCCAACTCACACACGATTTGCTCACAAACTTGTTATTTCGAAACGTCCATGACCTGTCATCAAGGCTACAATTAAGCCGCCAGTCGTGCGTTTACACGCAGGTCGAACTGACGAGTCATGATTGATGATGCCTGCGTTTTTACGATCTTAAACGACCACTTGATGTTTTCTGTTAGTCATTGTCTACTTCTAATTGCAAATAGGACGTCTTGGGGAATGCGTATGAATTTCGCTCTTCATCAACCGACTTATAGTATTCATCGACGGACTCTCAAGGCATTTTTTCACGATGCACGTTCATTAGCAGAGTGAGTTGCCATATCATGTGAACGCTGATTTCACGAGGTAGATAATATGGCTTTGTTATATTGATCATATGGCTCGACATCACACAGTACCAGTCAATTGACCGAGAAAATTTTCTGTGACAAACCATCAAAAAATGACCTTCAAAATGCTGCGTTTTAATTTCAGAAAAAAACTGACGAGTCGATGTACTTGCTCATGCCCACTAAATATGAACAATGACGATATGCATTAACTTTTTAGATTCGAATATTCTGGAACGAACCCTTCCGGCTTTAACCATAGCGGAACTGTGAAAGATATGAGCTATCAGTTCAACTGTTTGAAATTGTTCAGTTAAGGGAATAATCTCATAGTTAGAATCCTGGTCT